TCTCATGTAGAACCAAGTGGTCTTAAGATATCTTGGAACAAGTAAATTGACTATCGCTATTCAAATTATCTGTTCACTTAGCTTGGGAACAGGCTCCCGGTTGGGTTAATGGGTTTAGTGCAAACTAGCAAAGTGTGGTCTAGGGGCGAGGTGGGAGAGCCGAGAGCGGAATGGTGACGAGGGGGAGCGCAATTCCCGGAATTCCTTTTTTCGTACTTAACGGCTCGCTTCGCTCGCCGGATGTTTTTTTCCGCCCTCGCTGGGAGCATGTTCGCAGGCTAGTTGACTTGCCTTACGTTCAGCCGTTCGAACGGATACCGTAAGGAACGTTTTTGCGTGAGAGGTCACATCTTTGCCGGTGCATTTTTGTGGCTGAATCGGCAAAGTTCTTCTTTTAACGACGCTGTTAGGCTCGAGAAAGTAAAATTGGCGATGTACTTACTTCTTTTTACGTGACGCGTGATTGGTGAAAAAAAATTCTCCGTGATGCGTGATGTAATGGAAAAATTCAGCGTGATGCGTGATTGGTACTCCACCTTTGCCACCCTCGTACAATATGTTGCTTTGTACTGTTTTATAAATGCGATTCAACAGGGGGTCTTTGTTTACAATGATCATATCCCGATCAATCTCCATGAATATCATTCCTGTATGTTGAAAGGGCATGCACAATTAACTGTCCCAAGCAATTTGAACCCGATGTATTGAACACTTATTGTGCTAAGGGGGGTTTAAAGATTGAGTTTTACAACGAATGCATTTATAAGCTTATTAGCGCGTTTGCCACCCAGAAATTATGCAGTTCTTGGAAGCCAATTTCTCCTCGAATATTACACCCAAAGAGCCAAAAATTCCACCAATTACTAGATTTCTCAACCTCCTACAATGTTTGTAGTCAATTCGTGTCTAGCGTGATGCTTTGTCAGCACAAAGTCGTATGTTAAGGAGAAAAAATCTAGACAACAACCAACGATTGCTCTATATGGTTGTGTTGAAAAGTGGTAGAAAGAAATTATGATAATTGTTGATCTTGGTAGAAAAATGTGAAAGATAAACCAGTGACACAAGCGGGTCCGGCTTGTAGTAACCAAATTTTATTTTTGACATATTTTTTAGCCAGTAGAAAATTTGCGAAACGCTCTGAGAAATGGTCAGTGAAAGCGTGGATAATGTGAACCGTTTTTTTTTTTTTATTGCTCCTCTTTCACAGGTCTCTCTCACGGTGGAAGTACGTGGAAAAGCTGGAAACTATCTTAAGCAAACTATATCACTGGCTCAATTAGAGAAGGTAGGGCTGATGTGAATTTTTTGTCGTCTAAACCAAGTTTCAAATAATGGCCGTACTTGTTAACCAGGTTTTATGTTTCATACTTTATATATATCTCTTTAAGATAAGAATTTGTACTTTTCTCTCGTCTGAACGCGGTCTACAGTGACTCCCATTTTATAGTCTATCCACGTTTTAATTATAATACAGATAAGCCTGCGTATTGGTGATTACATATTCTCGTGTAACTTCAATTCGGCCCTAAACCATGCATATATTTACATTATCTCGGATCTGCCAGCTAAATTGTATTGTATATATACGGAAATGAAATCATAGAAGGTTAAGTCGTAACCTAACTTTTGTTTTCCATTCAACAGACGAGAGACTTCAGGCGATGTCCACAGAAAATTGCAGACCCTCCAGTCATCAAGAAACTGATTTTCTACATTATAGCCACTTGTATCCTAGCAACTATCTTTATAGGACTTCTAAGGTAAGTATTTTGTTGTAGAGAAAAACTTACTGCTTAGGTTCGAAGTAATGCTTGCAAGCAGCCTTTGCCAACAGTAGTTAGTTCGTAATCCCGGCGCAAAGGTTTCTTTTGAAACTAATCACCTGTTTCAACGAACTCATTTGGTCCTTAAATTTGCTCCTAAAATTTTACAATGAATATTTATCCTTGGTTTGTAATGCGTGGCGAAAGTCAAAGTGGCTGGTTTACTAGATTTGTTCCATGATCTCCGATGTCGCCGCCCCTGAATTACAGAATGCGATAATAATTCTGTTGGGAGAGGTTGAAAAGGACAGGAACTGGCGTAAAATGTTTTGGCACTTACAAGCGGTACTCTTGCCCTTTGAGGCTTTTTTTAAAGAAAAACCGCCCCGAAGAATAGGTTCGTTGACGCTTCGCGTGTGAAAATCTGATCGAGATGAAAAAATTAGAAAGAAAATCTCTGCGACATACAGGTAAAACACACATGCGCATTTTTCATTTCTTAACTGCCAATTGTTCTTATTTTCAGGTTTATCCTCGTCATCCTCAAAATCATTTTAATCAAGATTGTTTTTCCGCTACTTGGAATATCTCTTCAATCTGCCGCTGCGAGCACTGGCTCCCAACACGCCAAGCACAAAAACAAGGTCATCAAAAGTGAATAACCACAAACTACAGCGTGTTGTGTTCATCTTCAGTAATGTTTACCTGCTCATCGGCCTAGTATGACTGCCGTCCGTCCTATGCGCCGCTGGGTGCGATGGAGGAGGGGTCCTGCGGTTTAATTTAAGACCCGAGAGGGCAACCATCAATTATATTTGTTAGAATGATCAGGCTACAGTTGAAATTCCATTTAAATTGAATATTCTAAAGTTCGCTGTGACTACAACTTTGTATAAAAGTCGAATTATTTTATACTACTCTTTTCAATTTGGGTTGTTCTATTTAAACTTTTTGAAATTTAGCAGTGTTCTTAATAATTGTTTACATTTATGCGAGATCGAGCAAGTCGCACGGAACAAATCGCTTGATTTTTGGATGTAACGGGTCAGGACTTGTAAGCCTGCGCGTGTCCTGATGCCCTGTCCACACTACGCCGGAGAAATTTGAAAACGCAGTTTTATTTCTACGCTGAGGCCTACAGTCCAGACTAATCCGTCACAAAACGGAGCTTTTTGAAAAATGTTCCGAGAAATTTGAAAACACCGGCTTTGCGTTTTAGTGTGCACGGAAAACATTTTAAAAACGGAGGTTTCTGAAAACGATGGCGTCACAATAATACTGTGATTTCCCTGATCGAGTTTTCGTCAAACACAAATCCAAAATGACCGGTGATTGTTGCGCTTTTAAATTTCACCGGCGTAGAGATGACGGAAAATATTTTCTGCGTTTTAGAGTGAAACCTCCGTTTCAAATTTCTCCGGCGTATTGTGGATGGGGACTAAGTTGCTTCATTGGCGACACCACGACCAATCCCTATTTTCGCTGTGATTGATCTTGGGAAGCTTACCCTGGGTGCCAGAGGGTTTTTTTTTTCGTGGCGAACCACGATCGCGGCTTCGCCACGAAAACAAAAAGAAACCTTCGGCACCCAGGGTATGGGAAGCTAAGTTGGAACTCAAGAAAATTAAAAATAAAGTGCGTTTGAAATTTAAATGTTAGCATTATTAAAATCGACTCTGACTGGATTTAATTATTTTCACGGACGGGGAAAAGATTTCTTTCAAGCGTTGAATGTCAGGCTAAGGGAGCAGCTTAGATTAAGCAAAACCAACTCATTTTCTTCCATTAGCGACTATCGGCTCGAGGAGTGTTGTCAGTAAGTTCTTAGCCTGCGAACAGGCTCCCGGCGAGGACGGAAAAAAATTCGGCGAGCGGACGAGCGCGAAACTGAATTCGGAGAGCGACGCGATCGGGGCGGGACAGGGGAGCCTCCTTCGCTTCGTTTGGGCTCGCCGGGAGCCTGTTCGCAGGTTAGTATGTGTCTTTAAATATTAGTTTATCTCAGCCTCAACGTTCTTGGTTCTTACAAAATAAAAAGACTGTACTTGTTTTCCAAGGGACCTTACGGAACCCGTGCTGTTCAACCCAAGGTCTGCTCGTGTTGACAAAAAAAAAATACTCAATCTCTTATCCTCTTACTGACAACACTCCTCGGGCCGATAGTCGCTAATGGAAGAAAATGAGTTTGGGGGAGCAGGGATGGCGCAGTGGTGAGAGCACTCGCCTCCCACCAATGTGGCCCGGGTTCGATTCGATTCCCGGACCCGACGCCATAAGTGGGTTGAGTTTGTGTTGGTTCTCTTCTCTGC